TGAACTGATGTAAGATCTTGTGGCATGTTTCTCAAACCCTCCATTTAAATCATCATTCTTTTTGTCAGTACACGTAGAGTGGCCGTGTTCAATCAGCTTTAATACAGTTTACAACTACAGTAAGTCCCCGACCTATGAACGAGTTCTGTTCTGGGAGAATGTTCGTAAGTCAGACAAAGTGAATCTTATACACCTTTGACTCAAATATACAATGTAAAGCATAAAAAAACTAAACACACACAAAAATACTGTAAATAAACTATTTTTACTTTTATAGTTACCTTAAAATGGTGGTTTAGTACAGTACAACTGGCATATAGGGGATTGCATGGAGTGAACTGACAAGAACAGACATGTGAGCTACTTCCGCAGTTTGTTCGGATCTACGAATGTTCATAATGCGAGGTCCGTTCGTATTTGTGAAAGTTCACAACTTGAATGTTCCTAAGTTGGGGACTTACTGTATTACAGTTTTCTTTACCTGAGATATAATGATGTCACAAGACTGCAGATGTTTTTTCTGATATCAGACCAACTTTGTCTATGGTATTTCCACAATAGAAACTTTTAATAAATAACCTTTGATGAATGAATTGATATAACTATTCTCATTGTTTTCATTCTCTATCTAGCCCCAAGTTACTTTTCTTATCGATGAATTTAATAATTACAATCATTTAAAAGATTAGCTATGTTTTATGTCCAACTCATACATCTATTAATTAGTATAGTTTATTTTCTTTCCATCTGGCTAATCGCTGGACTTCTAGCATTTATGGTCTAGATAATTATTCCAAGATGCCAGTGGACTAAAACATATATTTTGTTATTAATAAGAATTTTAATATTTATAGGAGAATGTCACTATTTTTTTTTTACCCAAATTGCCAAGAAAATACTCTTAATTTATGAGACTATTAGGAGAGGTGGATAGCAAATCTTCTCTGTTTCCAAAGTGAATGAGTTCAAATTGTAGCTCTATCGATATAGTTATAGATAGATAAGGCTCTAACTCGAGTAAGCTTTACGATGTTTTGTGAGCCAATATCTGTGGTTTTCTTTCTTCTAGATCCTTAAGGAAACAGTTTCACATTGGAAAGACTGCAAAAAATTAAAGTGCATATTTGATTTATTTTACAAGAAAAAATTGTAAATGTGAGCTCTATTAGTACCCTCTACTCATTTCCTCCTTACACTGCATTTGATTTTTAATCCAGAATAGCAGTAAGGCATGGGATTCAAGAAATTTTAGGTTCTGGTCATATCTATTATTCTAGTACAGAATTTTTAAACTGCAAATATATTTTAAATCAATTCTACCGTGGTCTGTTACACATTCCCTGAAGGAGAGTGTTGGCAAAAATATTAACCAATTACCACCCCAAATCAGAGCAAACCTTAGCCAAAACTTTGGTGATTTTGTGATATTATTATTTCATATTTTGCTACTATCTGATGATATTCATTTAAAGTATAGGTATTCTTAAGTTAACTGTTGCCTGACAGCCGAATTCTATGAACACGTCCCCCCGCATTTAGCCTCTAATCCCATTAGCTATGAGAGAAAAGCCTCGGTATGACCAGAGGCAGTAATCTCTCTGAGGGAGTGCCTCGGTATGACCAGAGGCCTATAAGATTCCCTCTGAGGAGTGTCTCAAGGTGAATTGGNCTGGATGTTAATCTGATCAACAGCAGTTTTACTTCTCAATAAAAACCAAGCGTCGACCCGATTCGGTGGCTCAGTCTGACTCTCTGAAGGCTGAGTCCCTTGGTCTCGCACTTAAATCTTACTTCTGTCTCTGTCTACTTATTCAATCTGCGTCGCCCCTCTCGTGTCCCATTTGCCCTTGCCACGCTGGACGTGACAGTTAACTACTTTGTTATATTAAAGAGACATTATTATTTCAATATACATATTTAAATAGGCATGTTTAAAGCCAATGGGTATACTATTAATACATGAAGGATTTTAAAACCTAGAACATTTACTATAAATTGATGATAACTTTGGTTGTGTTATGAGGCATACAAAGTGCTTTGAAATTAGAAAATACATTATATAAGAAAGAGTTTATTAATGTGCTTGCTAACATTTTTTGAAAGACTTGCTCTATACATGTGACTCATATGTTGGTCAACCCTACAGATTGCCTCCTAGAGCTTAGTAAGCTAATGGAAAGCATAGAATTTTAATACTTATTTTCAGGTTCAACACTCCAATTTTAATGATAAGGAAATGTTTTTAGAGTTATTAACTTATTTCTCATGAATAATATTGAGGCTTTTTACCTGCTGCTGGCTAGAACCACTGGTATTATTTTCAAACTGTATGTATACTTAGGCAGGACATATGTAAAGATCAAGAAGGGGTGGTTAATCCTAAGTGATCTGAAAGTTATATATTTAACTTTTAGACATGCCAGGTTATATGTAACTTAGACATGTAATTTATTTCTACTGGCTGTTTTTCAAAGACTTTAATCTACAAGGTTTGAAATGAAGCACAATTCTGAAAGATTGTGAGAGAAAGAGAAATGGAAGCAATGCTTCTCAATAATTGCAATGATCTTTTCAATGATTTGATTAAATTTTTTTAAATTTTTATTTATTCTTGTTCATGTGTATTTGGGGACTCAATCAACATTCACAATTCTTTTATTACTAAGAGGCTGGCTCAGGGTTGTTTATGGAGTTGTTTTTTCTAATAGTCAATTATTTGCACTATTTTACCCAATACTCTATTATTTTATTTCTGAAGTCTAATCTGTAATATCAAAAATGCATTATTTAGGAGACAGCATTTAATTAAATGGCCTATCCAGGGTAAGATTTTATGTCTTTGATCTAAGTAGTCATATTAAAATATGAATATAGCATAGTTACTAAAAATAACTGTATTCCAAACTGTATCAGACATTTTAATTTTAAATAAAAAGAAAAAAATTAAGAGAAGAGCTAGCTGTATTTTGAAATTAAAAAT